TTTCTACAATTTTGATAAAAAATGAATGGAATAGACTTATTTCCATTTTCTTCTATATCTCATTCATATTTAGTATATCAATTGTTTGTATGTTTACCATTTAGAACTATATTGAGTTGTAAATAACTTTGTTCTTGGTTGTTTAATACATTATTTTTTTGTTTACCTTCTCAATAAATTGTAACTTTAATTTAGACACTTTTCAAGAAACTAATTTTTTCGTCAATTCAATTGTGGTCCGTAAGTAACAAAAAGTTACAACTCAAATAATTCAACAAGTTTGATTCACCTTTTAGGAAAACTTGGATTTAACTAGACCGAATTGCGCATTCTAGTACGGAAAAGCGTCTCATCTCGTTTTTAAGTAATAAAAAAATTAAAAACACAGAAAAAGAGGAGAGACGTCTCTGGAGAATGAAACGGTTCAACAAGACTTGCCTGCCGCATGTCTTCATAAGAGTGGTTCACATTTATTTAATAATTTAATTTTAAAATAAATAATTAAAATAAATAAAAATTATTAAATTAATATATTTAAGATCCTAAAAGAGCGTTTCAGCATTGCTGATGCTCTAACATTCGAACAAGAATTGAAAAATCATTTGAGTTATCAAATTTTTATTTGTCCTCTTAGGTTTTCTTTTTGTCCCATTTGAGTTAGAGAATTTTGGTTGTATTACCATAAAAAAATGTATCTAATAATCTAACCAAAAGCCTCCATGTGGTAATATCCTAATCATTTGATATAGGGTTTTGGTTAGATTATTAGATATAATTTTTTTTGGTTATTCAACAAATTAACCATTTGAATTATCAGTTTAGATGCATCATAAGTAAATGCTTGGTCCTTATTAAAAGATTGTTACAATATTTTTGTATGTGCTAAACCCTAATCCACCTCTATCAAAAAACTAGAATTAAAAAAGTTAAGACAAATCTCTTTTTTTTTTTTGAAACTTTTTTCTAAAGGTGATATTCAATGCGAAACCGTTGGGCTATTGTAGTCAATCAAATCTCATTCTTTTGCATAAAAATTTTAGATGCATTGAATCGTAATCTTTAATCGGTTCACAATTCGTATGTAATTACAATGGCTAATAAACTTAGATTCAAATATGTTACTGCATTGTGAGTTCGAATCGAAATTGATGTATGCAAAACAATGCAAAATGCAAAATGGACTTTCCGATTTAAAAAAAGAGTCAACGTTTTATAAGATGAGATGACAAAGCAGTGACTCTTCTTTAACTTCTTACTATACATAACTAATGACAAAACTCATTGACTAATGGCTTTGGCCTTTTTAGTTTCTGGCTACAACTTGCTTTTATTCAAAACTTTATTTGACTTGGATTCTCTAACTAACCATATCATTTTTATTTAAATGACGTCAACATGTTTTATTTTAAAAGTCGTGGAAAACGGTAGATAGATA